GGCTCGAGGTGTAATTGACGGCTACCTCTAACTGCTATCTGAACAGAGTGATCTCTGTACTTTTAAAAGTGCTCCGTACGTTCAAGAATACCTTTAAGCTTGAAGGGACGCATTTGGGGATGAAAATGCTGTTGACACTGCGTTACTGAGCTAGTAATGTAAGAAGGATGCAGCAAGTATGTGTTGCTGGCCCAAGCATCCCATACAGCCCAAGTGCTCTGTCATCTGACCACTCTCACTGAAGCTAAGCTACTTCAAGAAGGGTTGACTCCAGATTAGGTAACTTGCACTGCAGTAAAGACAAACTCAAAACAGAAAAGAGAGAAGAGAGTTGATGGAAATGGGTTACAGAAAATAAAGCAAGCAGTATCAGCAGCAAGTTTTTTTTTTTTTAAAACAAGAAAAATTATTGCCGAGCTAAGAACTTCATCAGTTTTGTAGACCAGCTTCAGACAGAACTGCTCAGGTGTTTTGGATAAGTGTAGAATTTACTGAACTGAAGCACTATAAATCTCAATAATGGCCGCTGGATTTTAGGAAAGTGAAGGATTTCCCAGTGGTCTGCTTCTATCAGATATGAAGTTAAGCACATTTTCTCTACCTTTAAGCGAAGAAGTGGCCCTGCTACAGAGGTTCACCATCCCACAGATGGGGAGCACTCAGGAGAAAATGCTTTCAGAATAGATAAGGGTGGATATTGGGATTCAGATGTACAGGGGTCCCTAGGCAGACACTCCCTCCCTGCCCCTCCAGTGTAAATAAGATGTCTTGAATCTGGCCTACAGCAAGCTGCAGCACATGGGTTTTGATATTAAGAGCATATGCATGACATTCTTGTGGAACCTGAACTACTTTGTAATTAAGATGTCTCCATGATGGAATTTTTATCTTTCATGTAATTGTCTGTGATGGACACTCAGGCGGATGAAAAGAAGAGCCTGACAGCTTGCATGTTAACGTAACTTAAAAAATGAGTAGGGGAATTAGTAATATTTGGAATGGTATGTGAAACTTGCTGAATCTTCTCCAACATATATCCATTTTTCAATAACTTGTGTATATTCATAGGAAAACAAGGCAAATTCTTGAAGCTACGGTCTCAGCTTTATGTATAAATAATGCTACTCACCAGACTGTTCTCATGGAGAAGGAATATTGAGTATGCACAACAGTGTGACTAAGACCATTTATATTACCTGTTACGCGTATTTGACATAAGTATCAATGGTGTATGGTCCACAAAACAGGAGAAAATTTTACTGGAATTGCTTTGTGAAACCGCTGTTATTTGATTTACGTTTAAAACAATATAATCCACAGAGCGTAATAGAAATATTCTCACTGACCTGTACAAGAGTTGGACTGAACATTTTCTGAACCGTTTGCAGGGAAGCCTCTTAAAGCAGCAGTGGGATAGTTGTCATTTTTGTGGGTAGGATGAGTAAAGAGTCTTCAGGCATAAAGAGCTACACCTCCATTTAGGGTGAGACAGTGAGCTGGAAAAGCGTCCCTGGAGGCCTTTTAGGTTTTGAAAGATTGATGAAGTGCTTTGCAGGATAGGATACCCCTTGTGCTGTACTTGTTTTATGTTCCTTTTTGTTATTTCACTGGAGGCCAGATAACAGGCTTAATCCTGTTTATATTTAAAGGAATGATGAAAAACTTCCATTGACTGCAGGGAGAGCAGGAATTGAGCTTGATATGTTGTTTTATGTTACGGTAACAATTGATTGTCATGCATTAAATATTGCTCCGGGGGCCAACATCTGTATTTCCATCAAGGGATTGTAGTGTTTCTTTTCTGCAGCTCCTGATGACAAAGTTGGTCTATACATTGGAGTCCAGATGTGGTATTGCGAAGAATGCCAAGATAAGGCCCTCATTTGAGTACAGTTAGGTGCACTCTCTTTGTTGTAAGTAAAGATAATTTAATTAATTTTGACTAATTAAGGAGTCCTTGATAACTGTGGGTTCCAAACTTCATCTCCAGTGCAAACAACAGCCGGTCCATACGTTGGGTCCTGGACTTGCTCTGATGAAGCCATTTGCATGCTACTGCTTACTTTAGTACACCAAGGCTTGTGCCTGATGAGGCTTGAGGGACAGGACCCAGTGTCACACTGGGTGAGCGTGTCACTTACAGGGACCGCAGTTCCTGGGAGCCCGCAGGCTTGCCGGGGTAGGGGCTGCTGTGGCTCTGGACAGGCTGCGGCTTCCCACCAGCTCTACACCTGCAGATGGGACTAGACGCAGGTAGGTGGGCACCATCCAGCTACAGCATCACTCTGTTGGTTGTATTTAGCCAATATTTTTGCCTTTCCGCATCCACATAGCAAAGAAAATCCAGTGTACTTGTTTTTTTGCTGGTATATTTCTCTCCCTTCCTCCCCATCCTTGAAACTGGATAGGGTGACCGTCCTCCAAGCCATTTGGAGGACTCATTGCTGCCTGTCTGGTGTGGTTCTTGCACTCGTAGGAGGATTAGGCAGACTGGAGTGAGTTCAAATCCCTCAGCTGCTAGTCTCAGACTAGAGCCACAGGAGAAAGAGAGACTAGATGCTGGAAGATACCAGTATGCTTCAAAAAAAAAGGAATGTAGAGGTATTTGTTGGGTGTGAATATGTCAGTAAAGGTGCAGGCTTTCTTCAGGTATCTTGGAGAAGTTATTAACATTTGTCTGCTGGGAGCAGACATGTTGTGCCTTGGGGTCTGTTCTTGACATCCTGGCGCTGAGTTGCTGCAGAATGAATCCCAGGTGCTTGCAGGCTCTGAGCTTCTCACCTGGTTTGGACAGTTATCGAACCGCTGGTGATTTTACATGCAGTCGTGTGTTGGAAACCAGAAAGAAAGGGAGGGGAGGAGGTGGAGAGCAAAAGGAGAAGCCATTTCCCCCTCTCCACAGTCTGCACTGTCTTCACTTATAAACAGCAGAGATGGGATTTTCAGAAGACACTCTTAAACAATGGAAGTATTGTGATTGCTTCATATACACCCAGAGGTTTAACAAGCTGCTAAACAACAGGTATGTCACTTTCAAATGCACCAGCTGAAGATTTCTGACTCTTTGTGGCACAACAGAAAATAATAAGGCAATCCTTGTCTCGCAGAACAAAACAACAGCAACTGGTGGAAGAGTTTGTTTCTGTAAATCCTGAAGTATATAAACAAAATAACGTTTCGTCTTTCAGATTGATCTGAATATATTTCCCATATGCTCTAATAATGGTTTCCATGGCACATAATAAAAATACACTTTTTTCTGAATTTTCTTGCTTTATACTTTACGGAGATGTCTGCCAGGTGTCATTGTTCCGTCTGCAAACCCCAGCATCTTCAGGCTTTTGCCCGCAGCCTGAAGCAAGTCTTTGGACTCCTTGGAGGGCTCTGTGCAATAACTGATAAAGCAAGTCAAGCGTCAGTAGGCTTTAATTTACAACAGCGTATGCATCTGCCTTGGAAATCATCTTTTTGAGATCCACAAAGCAGGAAAGATTGAAAATTGCTGCTATAATCTATCTAGCTCCTCTTAATACTTACAGTAATGTGCTCCCTTTCATTAAAATGATGACAATCATGGGGTTGAGTGGTTTTAGTTTCTCAACAGTTGGTATAATTTATAAGTAGTGTAATTTGGCTGCGGTGGCAATGCAGTGATATGGTTTAGCTCCACTGAGGAGCTTCTCATATATTGGTGTGAAAGTGAGGCATTACTGAGACAAAATCAAAGCAAAGCAGTGTATGCAACGAGGGGAAAAATAATCTGTACAGGTGCAAAGCAGGTTATGCTTGATACTGCATTGCTGAAAATTATTTAATATAGCTTGGACTAAGAAAAAGAGGTGTGTATAAAAACATATAGGCCTATGGGTAATAGGATGGTCATGAATTTAAGGTTTATGGAAGACATAAACCATAACAGTTTTATTTAGGTCTGACCTACACTATTTGCTCATAGGAAATCCCTGCTATGTTCAAAGATCTCAAATCTCCAAAGTTTGGAAGAATTATTTTTCCTCACAGAAGAACTCTTATTTCCTCTTGTATAAGTAGGGTTGCTGTGAATTCAGAACAGAAAGAATTAAAATCCTGACTGGCATTCCAAAAATGCCAGTGGTGTTTATAAAGCACTGTGATCCATATTGACCTGTCACCTCAACAATATTTGCCAGATTTTTTTTTTCACATAAAAGGTGCGTTTTAGTATGAATCTGCATGTGCACAACTTGTCCAGTATACTAATATATTAGTCTCTAATATGCAAGCAATATGTAAAGAAATTACAAATTTCTGTGGTTCTGCAGAACAGAAATAGTTATATATTAATGCTATATGAAATAATGCACTTTAACATGGAAGTGTATGAATGTATGGGTTCCCTTTCCCATTTTCTTTGCTGTTAGGATGAAAGAAAAAAGAGTTTTTGTGCGTTTTGTACGTGTATGCTTGGACTTCTAAGTGCGTCACCAGGTCTGAGTATTAGACATTAGCTGGATTAATGTAATTGATTTCTTCAGTTTACCTAACGTGGCTTTTGGTTCAAGGTCTGCTTGCTTCCAATTTTAAATGTGTGGCTGAGCTTTTTATGTCATGTTTATTTTGTCAGTAAGCTATAAAATATTAGTAAGTTTTCATACAAATGTGAAAGGCCTCGCTTGCCAGCAGGTACAAAATAAACGGAACATTCATACTGTTGGACGATTTTCATAAAATGTGTGTGATACAAGTTGTTCCTCCGGGTCTGATATTTGCATGTAAAATAGATTACCAGTTCAAAACAGCAGCATGCTGGAGGTTATTTAAGTGTATGAATACATACATACAGACTTTAACTTAACAAGCAAATTGTGATGTGCCTGCGTTGAAAGGATTAGTAGACTTATTAGAAGATACACATTTTAAATGGCTTTGATAGTTTCTGTTGTTGTCTTTTCCTTGAGATGTGTCTGGTAGTAGACAGCAAATTCACTGTTTCTTCTGATTGTGTTGTGTTTGCTCTCCAGTGAACAGAGTATTTGCCAAGCCCGGGCTTCAGTCATGGTCTATGACGATACCAGTAAGAAATGGGTGCCAATCAAACCTGGACAGCAGGGATTCAGCAGAATCAACATATACCACAACATTGCCACTAACACCTTTAGAGTAGTTGGAGTTAAACTGCAAGATCAACAAGTGAGTAACTGTATTAAGTTTCCTGTGAATTAACCTTTGATCTCTTTCCATACCATCAGTTATATAGTTAATGCAGTCTAGCAAAGTTTCCTGCTCCCTGCAACGTGCCTATTAGTTGCTGTTTGCTCCAATCATTCGGATTTTGTATGGGTTTTTGTGTGTGCGCGTGTGCAGATTGTATCACCATTTATTACTGTTTATTTGTTCTTTAACTTCGAAAGAGAACATTTGGTAATTGCCAGGGAGAATTTAACATGATCTGCCTCCCCCCCCCCCACACACACACTTTTTTGCTTGTGAAATGAATCTTATTTTGTACTGCAGGTTTTACTCTCAGCTTCCCTTTATCTACTTTTTGCCCATCGTTAGTACTATATGTACCAAAAAAAACCCCACCACTCTCTGTTGCCCATCCTGTAAAACGTCCTCGTTACATCGCTGTGATGAGTAATTAGTTCCTCGTAATGCATTTTGTAATCCTAGGTGCACGCTCTGATCTGATTTACGATGGCCTAAGGCCGCAGGACCTCCTCGGGCATTAGAGGAGTTAGGCGGGATTTGCATAATCGGGGCTGGGATCGGGCCGCCGTCGGCCACGCTGCCCTGGGGCGGCTCTCGCCGGCCACGGCGATGGCGGCGCGTGTCGGGGGGGCCCCTCGGTGCTCGCGTGAGGTCGGGGCTGCGGAGCGCCAGCCCAGCTCCTCCGGCCCCTCCTTGGGTGGAGGAGTCAGGGACAACGTGGGTGGTTTCCTGGGGGTTGAGAGCGTTGAGCTGCCTCATGGAGCCACTTTCAAAAGCTGTTTGAGCTGCTTACTGGAGACGGTTATATGCCTTTTATACGCTGTCCGTATATGTTGTCGTGAGTTTGGAAAAGGAAAACCCGAATCGAAATACATTTTTTCTTCAGCACGTTGGCTTTCAGCTACGTGCAGTGCAGTTGTGAACCACCTACATTCTCTTTTGCCTCTATTTTTATCCTTCTCAGTAGAGCAAAGGTAACAGATTAATTTAGTTCCATTTTAAAAATACATTTTTAGAAGTAAATAAAGTGCAGTGGCTGTTTAGTAAGCTGTGCAAATCACTATGGCTCTGGAGCAGGCCGTGCTAACAGTTGTTGCTTTTACCTAGCCAGCAAGTGAACGCAAATGGTTTTCGTGTGGGTGCAGTCGAGGATGCAGCTAAACACTCGGTGTAAAACTCACAAGCAAAAGTCTCCTGAACTATGCATGCGTATACATGCTAGAGGTCTATCTTAACCAGATCTTAACCAATTTAAAGGGTAGAATATATTTGAAACTTGAATCTTGATCTATATTTTAAACGTTTTGCATTAACTTCAACATTGTATTTGCTTGCAAATGTTGTTGCTTATGAAGAGGAGGCACATCACCTGAATTCCGGAGGAAACAGATATAACAATGTATATTTCTAGCGTTTGAAGACTGAAAATCATCCCACAAACAAAAAAAAATTGGAACAAGTTACCCTAGTTACTTAAAACTGTCTCAAAGAAAATACTAGTTTTAAATATGATTACAAAAAATCCAATGTTATGGATGAAGCAAATTCAAGATAGGGTAGTATAACAGTATTAAAAGGAATGTTCTGGAAGTTGCAGATTCAGATTTTAATATACTTTTATCAGTCTCTTATCAGTCTCGTGTGGAGTGGTAAGCTTTCTGGGCTTCCTAAGTATTTGCATTTAACAAGAACAAAAATGAATTTCAGTAAAAAGGATTCCCTGTATAAGGCATTTCATGCTTGCTCTTAGGTTGTGCTAAAGCACAATGAAAGTGAGGTTTTATTAATAGCAGTTGTTTTGCCAGGAAAACCAATTTTTTTTTTCTGAAAAGGACGGATCTTCAGCTAATACGTGATACTGAAGCAGATGAAGCTACACGGATTTCCATGAGTTGAGAAACTAGCTGAAAATACGTAGCACGATAATACCACATAGGAACAATTTTAACCATTATTACATACTTTTTGGGAAGGTGCAGACTAACCTTCATGACTTCACCCTTGCTGGCCTTTTATGTTTCCCTTTTAATTCTTGTTGTTTTGTATTACATCTCTAATAATCTCTGCTGCTTCAATTTTCGTCTTTTTCTTTTTCCTCTCCACATCTTCTCCTCATTGTCTTTCTCTAGCTGCTTTTCTGTTTGCTAGGCTTTTTTTGCGGCATGCGTTACAGTTTATGCTAATCTCTTCCCATTCCACTTACCTTATCGGTGTTTATTTTGTACTCTGGCTGATTGCGTCTAAAAAGTTCAGCACAGAGAAACAGGGTTTTTAGAAAGGGAGGGCTTCAGCGTCACACTCGGCGTTGGGAAGCGGCCATCAGACCTCTGATCGTCCTCGCGTGGCTGGGGACATGCTCACTGCGTGCCTGCGTGCAGCGGGGCTAAGTTAAAGACCGGCGGCAAATGAACTCCTCTTTCCTCTGTGCGCAGACGTGCACTTTCGCATGGACTCATGCTGGCATGATCAGTAATGCTCAAAAACACCGAAGCAGCTTTTTGCAGCTTTGAAGTAGCCACAGAGGCTAGAGCGGTTTTGGAAGCGTGGCCAAATCAGTCTGCTAGTCACTTGACGTCATTAGCTTTAACGTTTCCACGCAGCCTTCGTTTGCTCTTAGTGTATGTTCGGACCTGGCAAGCAAGCAGTTTACCGCTGTGCTGCAACTTGTCAGCTTAACTGTAACCCAGCCTGTTACAAAGGTGAACATGTGAAGCCTGTTAGAAAGCTGGAGCAAAATATGTTAACTTAAACCACAGGCGAGAGGTTTTGCAAAGGCAGGAACATGCTTAGGATCAGTCTCCGTGGCTTAGCTGATGAGGAGCAGCTCCCCAGTTCAGTCACGGTCCGCTGAGGATTTAAAAGGGTGCTTTTATTTCAAGCGATTTCAGCTCAGCACGATCTCGTAGTTGAAGCAGTTGAAGCGCATGCGCTGATCTCTCCGGTGGGGAGGAGGGTGCAAGTGGGCGTGAATCATACCTCCGGAGGGGCTTGCGTGGTGATGTGGCTCGGGCTGAAATGTAAAACAGGGCTGTGGGAAAGAGGGGACTTTTCAGATCTGAGCCCAAGCCAGAAGCGAAATGGTGACAGCGTGCTTGTGATACAAACCTAACCACATTTTTTGAAAGTTAAAACACTTAACTAATCACCGCTGTAACTTATTAAAGTTGGTCAGGTTTGGGCCTGCTTGCAGGAACAGAGAGTCTGGCCTGAACTGTAGCAGCTTCAAGCTCCTATGCCATAACCTCCGCGTTTTGGAGAAGGCCCGGCCGCTTGCGTGTCCCGGGTTTGAACGCTGCCCGCGCGGCAGGCCCCAAGCTGAAGACAACGTCCCGAACTTCTGAGAAGACGACCAGCGCCTTAGTGCTCGATGGGCAGCAGCGGGGTCTGAGAGGCTCGTGCAGTAACTCTCGCAGGGATCCGGGTTGTGGCTGGGCCTCAGGTGGGGTCTCGTGTCCGTGTCTGAGCGCTGTCATTCAAGAAAGCAGATGGCTCAGTTAGGTAGTAAGCACGATAGAAATAGCGAGTGTGTCCTTAGTTGCCCACTGACATAACATCTCTTTTGAGGGTTTCTATAAATTTTATAAATATAAATCTACAAATTTAATATATATAAATGCGCTATAATTATCTGACATCTGTTAAATAGGTATATCAGTGAGATGATGCCATCCTTAAAAAACAGAAATGTGTGAAAAACAATTTGCTGCTTATGCGCTAGCTACTCATCTAATGTTTTCCTGGCAGTTTAAATTGTTTTGTCCACTGAAAAGTCAAAAGGCGTAGATGTAGGAGCTGTTCACCTTCGAAGTCGGTTTTAAAACTCTGCTTTTATAACGAGGAAGAACTGTCAGTAATTTAGCAAAGATATTGTTAATCTAATTAAATGTGTTGGAGGTTTTTGCATGCAGTAGTAGCATTAACATGCAACTTTCCATTTCCAAAGGGCTGTAAAATCAGACGGTAGAAGAGACACGTTAGTGGGTTTGCTGGTGCGCAGGATCCGTCTGCAACACTAAGTACTGGGTGCAGGGCTTGGCACGGGAGTGGGAGGCTGGTGCTGGGCTGACGGGGCCTGGAGTGCCTGCAGGCGCCCTGGCTGGGCACGTTGTTTGCCCTCCGAAATACCCAGAGACGTTTTCTTTCAGCCCTCGCTGTGGCTGGCGGAGGTGTGCGACGTCGCCCGCTGTCCCTGCTCCCGTCTCGCCGAGGCCGGGCAGGGCGCCCCTGGCCGGCGGCGCGAGCCCTTCCTGCTGCTGTGCGCCCGTGGCCGTGTCTGCGGAGACTGGTGCAGGCTGGTGCGAGGGAAGCTTTCCATTGAGCCGCTTTCAGACTGAAAACGGAGGGATTATTCTGGCTCTCGATAAAACTAAGGCCAAAATAACTCCATCTGTGGATCCCGTCTAGGAGACTCAGAGCCAGATTTGCTACACTCAGATAATGAATTTCAGTCTTACCCTGCGCATAATTTTAGGCTTCTTTCTCCCCAGTTCCCTTCTGCCCCAGCTTCTGCTGGCACGGCGAGGACGCCTCTGTTTCCTGATCTTTCTCTTCTTTCAGCTGCACCGTACATGTTTAGGAGGATAGATTGTGAACCTTTTTGTTAGAATTTCATTTTGTTTCTTCGGTTTACATCACAACAGCCTACCATGGTCACCCCAGAGACGGATATCTTGGGGTGCTGTCCCTGTGACCCATCCATCTGGCTTTGCAGTGCTGCCACCAGCAAGTCCTGCCTCTCCGGTTCGGGTTAGAGCAGCTTACGCTTTCAGCTCTGGAGGTTTCGGGTTTGATCCCAGGTTGCTGCGTACCTCAGTATCCAGCATGCCCTGCCCAAGGGTAAACAGGGCGTTGTATTTAGCAGATTAAATCGAATCATGCAGAAACACCCTTCTGCTGCAGACACCCCTTGACTGCAAATTATAGCATGTACAACAAGGGAAGAGGTGGGAGAGGAAGCACTTTGTCGTCTGGTTTTGTCGCTGCCTATCTGATTCTAGACAAGAACTTTCTCAGGATAAAAAGCTGCTGGTGATCAGGTGCAGGGGAGGAGGAAAAGGCCAGAGCTGGCGCAATGAGTCAAACATGTATTTGCTCGAGGGGAGGGTTAGTGCCAAGAACTCTGTCTTTCTCCTTTTCTGACAACCTTACGTGATCCTCCCACGGAAGATGGCAACAGCTGCTGGCCCTGACTCTTGACATCTGTCTGCAATATATGCGCAGCTGTATCCTGCAGAGGTACTGTAGAAAGCGTGAGCAGGTAATAGATTTTGCAAAACCAGCTTGCAAGGCCCTGAGGCTGAAGTGAACTGTTGTAAATCTCACCCCCAGACCTGTGTCTTCTGTCATCAAAGCTCACACTGCCTCACAGTGCGGCCGTCTATGGATTCACCACGTGAATTGCACTGCCAATTTGATTGACCTTTTTTTCACTGAAAAGAGAGCTCTTTTTAACCTTCTCCTCTCTCTTTCAAATCACAGGTAGTGATTAATTATTCAATTGTGAAAGGACTGAAGTACAATCAAGCAACACCTACCTTTCATCAGTGGCGCGATGCCCGGCAGGTCTATGGCTTGAATTTTGCAAGCAAAGAAGAGGCTACCACGTTCTCCAATGCCATGCTGTTTGCTCTGAATATCATGAATTCACAGGATGGAGGTAAATTACAAGCCACTGTGCTCTATATTAATCTGTGCCATTTTATGATGCTTGTGTCACCAGGTGCAGTTGTGCTGGATCGTATGTCGTTCTGAAACGCATTATAATAAAGAGGAAGTTGTTCTCTGGTAGACAGTCTTCAGATCAATAATTGCAGTGGTAGGAACTGTGCATGTTTTCAGACTTTGTTCTCCTTCCTTCCAGTTTTTCATGGTGTCTTAATTCACGACAGAAAATCAATAGTTAAATATTTGGGAATGCCCAGGCAGGCAGGTAGCCCAAGTGATTTATGTGGATTTAGCTATGTGTTTTATTACATGTAAGATGGCAGAATGTAACCTTAAATAAACAGAAGCTAGAATAAAATTAGCAACATTTTATAAAAACTTTAGAGGTAGAACTCAGAGCTTTTGTTTCTGGTGCGTTAGGTGTCAGCTACAACCGTTCGCCATTGTGGCCCAGCTTTCTAAAAGGAGAATGTGTGGCTTCTTGGTTATTTGACAAGGAAAGACGCAAAGGCTTGAATTCTGGACATTGACAGATGTTGCTCATAAATATCGTATTGATTGCAGTTGAAGTTTGTACTGAAAGTTACTGTTTTATGACATTTTTGTTACAATAGCTTGACAAAGGCCCAAAATAAAGGCCTGATTTCTCAGTGGAAACCAGTTTCTGGTCTACAATATCTGGTTTAAGCACTGCCCTCAGTTACACGCCCATGACCTCTCTGTAGTTGTTAGGCAGAAACAGAGAGCTGTTGGGAACAGAAAGCAAGACTCACATTGTGTCTTTTTTTCCTGAGAAAAATACCCCACAGCCTTATTTTCCTTTGAAAGCAGTGATTCAGGGTTTATACCACTTGCTGCCCTCCAAGTTTCAGTGCAGTCTTCGTTGACAGTAGCCCGGAGCCCTCTAAAGTATAGGAGTAACTGTCCACCTGATACCAGTTTGTGAGCCCACAAATATCCTGTAAATGGTGATCATGCTTATCTCCTGCAACCTTCAAAACACAAATACGTCGTATTAAAATGCATATTTGTAGTATACTTTTTTTCCTTGTGATTTCTCCATTCATGGTACTAGGTTGACAAAAGTAAGAGTCATGAAAGAGCAAGAACTGTGCTACCTTCTGTGCTGCATTCTGAAGTGCTGAGGACTGAATTCTGGCTTTTTCAGCCTGAACTTTTTGGCTGTAGTTGCACTATAGCAGGAGACTTCTTGGGGGAATCTGGCCAACGGTCCCCGTTCTTACCCGTATCTGAAGGGCGCAGAGCTCTCTTAACTGCCAAAGATCTCTAATACATGCTCGGCCCTTTTAGGCCACCTAATGAGACCTCAAAATTCGTTTTTTGGAGTATAAATATGAGCCTGATACAGTGATGGGCTTAACTCCTATGATTAATTTGACTTTTTTCCAAAAGCCCCAAAGTTTACCTCTTTTTGTTTCATCTCTCTCTCTCTCTCTCTCTCTCTCTCCCCTCAAAGGGTAGTATTTTTGTAGGATTTTGAGATAGTTTCAGTGAGGCACCTTGCAGAAACATCAGTTTCAAAATGAAAACTTCCATTGTAGTCAGATCTTTTAAGATCAAGAAACTATCTTAAAGTTGATCTATCTAAAAATTTTAATTATGTTAGCTATGGCTAACAAAGAACAATAGGTATTTTTAAGATGGTGTTTCTGAGTCCTTGAAAAATTTATTAGATTTCTGAGGAATGTATGAATGGAGAGTAAATAGTAAATAGTCATTTGGATTTTGGTTTTTTGGTATTCTTTTATTTTTTTAGTACCTCAAAGTGTGATAGATGCTTTTCAGCTATAAGATCAGGCCTGTGCTGAAGAGCTTCCTTTTTAAGTTTATAACTGTCGCATAAGCAGACGTGAATTAAGTCACTCAGATGCTAAAATTTCCTTCTTTCATTTTTAGGAAAAAAAATCTTCTGGCAAACTTGCTGTTTTCAGCAACCCGTTTTCTCTCATACATTAAGTGTTAAAAGTTGATTACCAACTTTCTCATCTCTGTACAGCTGAGGTTCTCAAAAGTTGAAATTTGTTTTTAAGAGCATTTCAGCATTTGGGGTTTTTTCTGGTTATGTGAAGCAAACTCTCCAAATATTGGTTTTCAGCAAAATTCAACTTTTTGAATTAAATTTATTTTTTAAATACTTCTTTTCAAAAATATGAAATTGATATTAGATTGCAAGAAGACATTTTGGTAACAGTAATTGTGTCTAACACTACATATATTTTAATAAAATCCTCTCATAATTGAAATAGATTTTTTTTTCTTAATTGTTCTGGACAGGGACTACTTAGAAGTAACTGACAGTAATTATATTTATTGGTAATCAAGAACAAAATTGGAAACAAAAATCACATTTCAGAATTTTCTTGATTCTAAATGTAAAGAATTTCATCTCAAGGCTTCTTCCTTGCAGGAACTTTAACTACAGTTTAATAAGATGATTTTAACAATGTTAGTGTTAAATATTTTGACAGTGAGCTTTTGACCTGCTAAATTCACGCCTGTTTATCTGGGCTGCTTCCCCTGGCCTCCCTTTTCATCGAACAGTACAAAAGGCAGGTAAGCAAAGTCAGCTGATGCAGAGCAAAAACCAGGGAAGGCAGTAGATGAGTAACGACAGAAAGGGTTGGCAGCCTTCCTCTCCTAGCCATTCGTTCCCCATGCTTCTGCATGGTAGCGTTTGATGGATACGTGTTCTCCCTCAGGACTTTTATGTCGTCATAAGATTCCCAGGCATTGCAATGGTCTCACTGTGAGAGTTGACAGCAAAAGTGGACATAAGGTGCAAAGTGTTTGCTCAGCTCTGTCCCTGAACCTGCTCTTCTAGGCTCAGATTGTGCGCATGATTTTGTGGGCATGGTTAATGCAAAAAGGAATTCACAGAAACACACGTATCCATATATTTGTTCAGGCACAGCTCTGACCTGCACACTCAGTTCATTCTGCTGCCTGCATGTTGCACTAGGAAAATTTGATTTTGCTTGTGCAGAAACCGTCAGAAAAAAATGCATTTATATCTATGCCTCCATGTGTTGAAGTTGTTCTGGTGCTTTTGCAGAGGGATTCTGTCTTTAAGGATTGCATTTGTACACACAGTTGTTCTCACGATAAATAAATCCTCAGCCAAAAACTGGGAGTTAAACAAGTGGTTCCCCCGGAACATTCACCCTCAGTACAGCATACCATAGATATCTAACTGCAGTTTGGGATATGCTATGTACATTACTCAGGATGTGCGATTTCTACAGTTTACTTGCTTCGTATATCCCTGCTGTGACACTACTGTGTTGAGCTACTGTTCGTCTTTCAGTATTGGATAAGGATTCTGGCTTCCCTGACTGCTTCTCCCTTCATGTTACCACCTACTTGCACAGACTAAAATTAATCATGTTAGACTGGGACAGAAAATCTGAGAAAGCGTCATGTCTTCAGCAGACGCAAAGTCAGTGTGCTATACCTAGACTGACATTTGGGAAAATAACTAGTTTTGTTCGCAAAGCAGTGATGTGGTTTTTTTTGAATGGTGCATTAAACCGGAGAGTTAAAAAATGGCAGCAATCCATGTAATTTCTAGACATCGCTGACTTTTGAATAAATGAGTCACACCAAATTAATATACAGTTATGAACTAGCATTGAGAAATATTACTGCACTGCCCTACTTCTTCTCTAAAGTGTGTTGGAGGTTTAGCGCAATGCCGGTCTGTGTCTCAGTGCCGTAGGGTCTGGCAGCCCTGGCTTCCCACACGTCGCAGAGTCGCTCTGTGGTCAGGGAGGGAGTCACTTCCAGAGCGTGTTTTAGCCCTCCTGGGGCCTGAGATCTGCCACTGAAGGCCTAATCTCTCTCTGCCGATTACGCTGAGCACCAGCAAAAACTAAAGCAAGTACTGCAGTCAAATGTCTGCAGTAAGTGGGATGAGTCTGATCCTAAATCCTCTGCTAATCTGGGTTGCGTGTTGGGATCGTTACTTGTGTAGGGATCCTATCCAGCAGGCCCACATCCTAAAGTTTGGGAAAAAAGCCATAGTCTAAACTTGCTATCTGGTCTTATTTCTGCAGCGGATGAACTTATTTGGAGTGGGGTGGGCCATCTTTAGCGTGTCCAAAATTCTCGGTGTTGTGATGGGTGCTGTGTGTAGCTGTTCCCTTGAGCCTCTTCAAATGCACATCCTAAGCTTAGGTGAGTTAACGATGGCCTTACAATGCAGTGACGGAATACAGTACTTAGCTCAGTCTAGTTAATTTTGGAAGGATGCTAATGGTCATGTTGGGAACAATATAAAATCAGATAAAATAAGAATAAAAATAGAGTAATGATCCAAATTAGTACAATCCTTCCTCTGGAGGTTGACTTTTGTTCCACTGAATCACAATTGCTTGCCTGCCAGCCTGTTTATATGCCTAATTACTTTGATTTCCTTTTATGTCTCCTTAGTCTGTTCTCCTGTACAATAGAAAATGAGGAGCTGGTTCTGCACCAACCTGCAAAATGAGAGCAAATGATAATGACTGACTTGCTCATTACCAGTCTCTTGCTTAGGGTTGTTTAATGATATCATTTAGTAAGACCATTAATATGACAAATGACTTCCCATTAACTTGGTTTCTTTCATGAGAGTCTGCTTTGTGGAATGAAGTCAGGCTCGGTTGCTGGCACCAGTTACCTGATGCAATGCACGTCCCTGGCCGGCCTTGGCATCCGTAGCCCGGGGCTTCCTTAGGGACAGAGCAGCCCAGGCTAGCTGCTGTGGGAAAAGCATTATGCCCGGATCCTGCCCCCGAGGTTATTTGATGTGGAAGGTGTCACGGGTCTGCCTGGGACATGGACAAGGTTCGTGCCCTTTAGGGCTTGCATCCTCTTAGAATTAACAAATGCAATGACCAATGACAGCATGGCACAGATATTAGAGCTGGATGTGCTGTAATGTGGTGGGAATATCAGTAAACTAAAATGGGCAAGTTCTTCCTTGACATCATT